ACATAACCTACCTAATCCAAAGGGGTAAAAATAAAATTGGTAAATTCCTACGGACACCGTATTAGCCTCTGAACAAAAGGTATCACACAAATACAACAGAGTATTCAAAAATACATTAGCATATATAAAACCCTTCTCAACTGTTATTCAGTCATGATTTGAATGAGATTTATTTTATAACTCAGAATCATTTTCTAATAATATGCTTTAAATTAGCAGAATCTATTTGCAATAATTCTCTACTTACATTAATTTTGTATTATCTTATATCAAATCAGATAATCTCATTGAATTTTAATATCTGCCTTGTCCCAGAAAGTCAACCTAACAAGATCTTAGCTCAATATTGTGTGTGTGTGTGTGTGTGTGTGTGTGTGAGAGAGAGAGAGAGAGAGAGAGAGAGACATGACTTGATATTTGGGGATACTGCTGAATCCTATGTATTTATTTTTTTTGTACATTTTAGCACTAGAGTAGGATAGAGTCCCACTTTTACAGAATTGAATAAAAATAGAACAGACTGGAACTGTTGGGCATTACAACACAAAGATGTAGCCTTGTTGGTCTTAAGAGAAAGTAAAGGAGAAAGTACCCATGCTTGTGAGTGGTGATATTCTAATACACATCAAAGGCATGGATGGAATAGAATTGCATTCATACAATGGTTCCTTCCCACTTCTCATTGCTTTTCTCTGTAGCCATCTGAAATTCTGCTGCTACAGGGAGTCTACAGGATCCTTTAGCAAGGTATGGCATATATATTGCAGGGAACTGTAGATGTGAGGAGAACTGAAAGAAATCTCACTCCCTTATGAGGCAGGTGCTCATACGACAGATGATGGCTTAGGTTGGTCTGACATCTCTGTGATTCCATTAAGTACTTATAAGACCAATGTACTGCACTAAATGCTACAGAAGTCCAAGTTCCCTGCAAAAACAAAACAAGTCAACTCTCCTTCCAAACTGCATGCAGCAAGCAAGCACCTATGCATTTTGTCCACTTCATGTGAATGGCCTGTGAAGACCTCAGAAGAAACACTAGGTCAGGACAAGAACATGGCCTTTTGGGACTTCCCAGTTAATGGCTTTGCAAGTACTCACCCACTGTATTCTCCTGCAAGGGCTGTGTGTTAGCGTAGAGGCAAAAGGACAATACAAGAAGCAGGAGCATCTCTTGCTGGCAAAGGCATCTGCATTGAGAAGTATCAACAGGACCCATTGAAGAAGACAAGGGGAATCTACTTCTTATAATCCCACCAGGTACCTTCAGGCTCTGGTGTTTTGAAGCAAAGTGTACATAAGGAAAGAAAGTCTTGTGGGGACTGGGGGTTTTATCAGAGGAAGAGGCCAAGATGATAATAGCCTCCACTCTAGCCTTGACCTGCCCACAGCAGCAATGCCTTTCAGAGACAAAGGGGGCTGTTTTTCTCTGGAGACATTCATTTTGTTTGCAAAGCCATCCTCCAATTGTTTGCTTGCAATGTGACCTGCAGTGACCCATCTGCTATCTTATCCAGAAGGACAACTAAGGAAGAGACACAGAGACATCCTGTGGAGATGGGGGAAGAAGGAAAGATGGTGCCCCTTATATATCTTCGGTTTTCTGCTTCTATGAATAAGAAAAGCAACTCTGAAACAGAAGAGCAAGGGAGATTGAGACTTCATTCCTGGCTTTGCCAAAATGGAGGGAAACAGATCGGGGTGGAGGGAACCTCATGCAGCCTTCCCCAGTTCTGGCGTTCTCCAAATGTGCAAAACTACAACTGCCATCCCCCTCACCAGCTGGCTATCATCTGACACATCTGGAGGGTACCAGGTAATACATCTAAGCAAAATGAATAAGCTAAAGGCAATCTCCACTATTATAATCTACTTCCGGTGTGTCAGTGTAGAACTTCTGAGCAAGGAATTCAAGTAAGAGCAATCAGCAACTTTAGGCTGGAGCACACAGAACTCAGACTTGGGGAGGGTGTTTTTTCCTGCCCCACTTTGTCCTTGCTCTTTGACGATGATGAATTGCTATTATCAGTAGCCGGTGATTTTGCATGCCATTGCAAATCCTGTAAACATGGATTGTCAGTCAGCTTCAAACTGAAAGGGTCTGCCTATTTCCTTGGAATTGTTGAACCAAGTATGAAGTTGCGACACTTCTGCTGAAAGGAACATTATTCAGGAATTATTATCTCCCTTTCTGCCTATCCAGGAAGCAAGTCAAGACCTGGCTCTGCCAACTGGCATGGGGCGAAAAAAGGGGCAACCAGCCCTGGGGGTGGCTAGCATGAAGATGCTCCCATATGTTAACATCTTACTGACCATCAACATCTTGGAAGATATTATTATTTGTGTATCTGTTTGGTTTTATTGTATTTTTACTGTATTTTTATACTGTTTTATTGTATTTCAATTAATATTTATTGTTGTTTTATTGTGAACTGCCCAGAGTCACTTCTTTGTGAGATGGGCGGTATCTAAATTTGAAATATAAATAAATAAAATTTGTGGCAGTGCAAAAACAAATTTTGAAACAATCCAACACTACATTAAATACTGAAATATAGCATTGCAAGCAAGAGAAACAGAATACAGAATCAGATACAGAAATCTACATGTCATATATTCAGCTTGACACAATAATAAATGTCTAATGGTATTAGGGAAAGGAACCAAATGGATCTCCTGTGTTGGACCCTGGAAAACAAGCAGAATACTAGCTAGCCTAAATTGTATTTTTTTAACTCCCCAAATCTGTCTCCAAACCATCTAAACGTTTTGGCCACATTCCCTCTGCCAGCTTCACTGCTGTACCCCAGGAACCTTCTGAGCCCACCCACCACTCCAAAAACTGTGACCTCTGCATGCCTTGCTGTGGGTCTGGATTCACCTAGCTACCTAATATTATTTTGGTCTAATTAATCAGAAGATAAGTCTGATAAATCTCTCTGGTAGCTCTGCTTGGTTCCACCTAATGCAAGCAACAGTAGTTCAGGAAGAAATCACAACACACAATGCTTTCTTACACTTTTATAAAAGCTCAAATGCATCTTAATCAAGAATGAGTGAGTTGGGTGTTAGAACAGAGGAGATGGTGGATGAGTGAGTTACTCAAGAAAAGAAAGTAGATTAAGGGAGAAGCACCAGTTTGTCCCAAATGATGTTGTGATATAGCCTGTCCTCCTCCCCTCCAAATCTGAAAGGTAAAAAAGAGTTAGATATCCTTTGGGCCAATCAGGAAAAAAAATGGTTATTTTTTTGGTATATGATAGGTGGGAAAACTGTGGCAAGCTGAAATCACTGAACAACCATTGGTGGCAATCTTAACCAGCATGGCCATTGGAAAGAGATGCTGAAAATGGCTAACAAACCCTGGAGGCCATATGTTTCCTTCTACATGTAACTGGGTGATGGGGAAGAGGAAGAAAAGGCCTGTGATAAAAACTGATAGGGAGCTGATGAATGAAAACATAGTTTTCACTTTCACTTGCAGAACCCTTACAGACAATGGTTGGTTTGAACTTTGGGAAGATAGACCAATACGGGGGAAGCAACTACAGAGCAAATGCCAGGTTGTCACAATCACCTAAAAGCTGAATCTTCAGGTCTGAAATGACAAATGTCAAGTCTGAAATAGCAGCACCTATTAAGATTCCTTTGCTTGGCTATCACTTGCTTCTCCAGCTCACGTTATTCATTTTGAAAGCAGTTGCAGCTCTCTGGTTGATCAGTGAGAAAGGATTAGAATGAAAGGATCAATGACCACTAGTTCAAGTTTGCCCTTCTTTAAAGACAGCAGCTGAGAAGTAATACTATACCCCATTCTATGCTAGAAGAATATTATGAGATTTCTAATCTCCTGAGAAGTATCTTCCAGAATTAAGAATTGCCTTGTTTCTGGGTAAGTAGAAACAATATATAACATAACATAAGAGTGATTGTTATCCAGAAGGTTATCTCTTTCAAACTGAGGATTGATTCAAACTTTGCATTGATATAGAAGTATTTATTTAGAAGCATAGATTCAGAGCAAATAACAATGCAGATTTCCTAAAGACTAAAATCAACTAAAGATTCCTTTGTCCAGATTTTCAAATTGTGATTGTTTCTGATACTAACCCCCTGTCCTACTTTGGATCACAAGCAGCATACCTTACATATTAACTTTTGGGAACTAACAATGTCACCTTCTACCCATCCTTGTGAATGTCTTGAATGTAGCTGGTTGTCCACTTTGTGACACTGAGTCCACAACTGGACAAGAGAGATTCTTGGCCAGATCCAAGAGAGCATTTCATAAGAGCTTAGATGATTAGTAAATCTTGGACTATTCAAACAGTAAGAATTGGTGGTGATATATATATGTATGTATGTATGTATGTATGTATGTATGTATGTATGTATGTATGTATGTATGTATGTATGTATGTATGTATGTATGTATGTATGTATGTATGTATGTATGTATGTATGTATGTATGTATGTATGTATGTATGTATGTATGTATGTATGTATGTATGTATGTATGTATGTATGTATGTAAAAAATAGCAACATTGAGTAACAAAATTCAGGAATGGGGACTGAGAAGCATTGCCATTTTTGTAGCTGTTGTGAAGCTTTCAGTGACAATGTCCTGGCTGCTGTTTACTTCAAGGCTGAACCCTCCAGATAAAACATACTTCCAAAATTGATTGCTGAGGGTCAAAGAACTAGGAAAAACCACATTTTTTAGAACAAGTGAGACTACAACACTATGAGCTCATATTCCACCATGGCAAAGGTAAAAACAGCAGCAAAAGCAAGAAAAGAGAATTTACTTGGCTTTAACGGAAACATTACTGGAACTGAAGACCAAGATAGACAATGTAAAAATAATCTAAGGCAAAGTGCTGAAGCAGCAGTATACAAAAAATGAATCAAATAAGCATTTTGGAAAAATAGAAAAATAAGTGTGATGTGGAAGTAGGAAATGAAATCCAAATCTCTAAATCCCTCTCTTATGCTTTTCCAGTTAAATCTCCAAATCCTTCTCTTGCAATCTTACACCTACCCTCCAACCTCACACTTCGCTTTGGAGGTTATACTCGCATCACATTTTTAATTGTTTGTTGCTAATACTATGGCAGGAATCCTCAACTGCTTTTTGGTAGGTGGTAGGAAGAGAGAAAAGGAGAATACACAGGATGAAATACTGTATAACTCATCATGGGCAAGAATTCGGTAAAAGCAGGCAGCTGGAATAGTAATTGTGTATGACTGTTAAATTATTTATTTTGTCCTAATATTTAAAACCAAATAAGGAATAATCTGGGGAGGAGAATCCTTCAGTAAAAAGATTGTGTGGAAGAAGTAAGTTGTTTTTCACAGCAATGAGCCTTGAATAGGATGAAGGGAAGAACCAAAAAGAATTGGACAAAAAGAATTGCCAGAATGTAAGCAAAGTTTCTTTGGCTGAGGGTCTGTGAGTGTCATTCCAGGACTGCATTCCACTTATGGCCACGACAGGAGAAAAAAGTAGTAATTTTGATTTATTTTGCATAAAGATAGCTTCCCCCTCTGTCATATTAAAAAATACAATTGGGTGGCAACTTTTGGAGGGGTTTTGGAGCATCCAAAGTTTTTAGAAGCCCCCCGCCTCTTTGGATCCTGCATGTGTGCTTTGCAACATACTGGATTATTTATTTTCGATGAGACCTCTGCCAAGTTACAGAAGTTGAATTTGGGTCCAATTGAAATCAACAGGATAAGTTAGTTAAGACTTAAATTCTATTTATTTCAACGTGAACTAAATACAATAGACTGGATCCAGCAGTCCCTTTTGCACAGCTTTATGATAGTTGGAGTCGATATCACGTCTAGTTGGCTCCCTGGTCCTGAATCAATTCTATTTGCCCTGTTATCTTTTCACCCTTTAATCCACAGAATGAAAAGTTTGATCAGTTTAAGTTGCACATTATTGTTTATGAAGTTGCAGTAAAAAGCAAGTGTTTAACCCATTGATACTTATTTTTGATTTTCAATGCACCGTGCAAACAATGGGAACATGTTTGCATACAATGCTGTGCTTGAACTCTGCACATGTCAACAATATGAGGATTTCACTGGAAAATGGCACGAGTTTTATAGACTTTGACCACATTGGGATTGGAAAGCAAAGGAACACTTTCAAGTCTCTGTGAGAAGATAAAAAGATGCCTCTGGAGTTTTGCTAGAGGCAAAGAGGAGTCAGCTGAAGGTCAACATCTTTCTCACTTTAATAGGATATACATTCTACATTCTCACTTCCTCTCTTTTAAGTCTCAAGGATTTATCGATGTACCTTGCTTCCTGAAAAAGAACAGAAACCACAGAGGGGAAGAAACTAAAAAATGTACTTTATGTGAGTACTTACATTGGCAATGGAGCCCTTAGCAACAGCCTTAGCCTTTGGAGAATTATTGCTTGCCTGGCTGATTATCTTTGTTTATATAATATTGTTATTTATATTATTTGATATTGTAATTAATATTTTATTGTTCTTGTATATTTGGAATTTATGTACTGTAGATGCTTGTTTTGTATGATTGTTTGAAAGCTGTTGTGAATCTGGTGAGAGTTGATGACATACAAATTAAAAAAGGAAAAAAAACTGTTGGACTTTTGTACGCATGGATCTCTGCATCACATGCTGCTGAAGTACTTGGTTATTGACAATTCCAGTAATGTGTGGTAGATAATATACCACGGTAGAGCACTGAACTCTGGATTTCAAGCTGCATAGAAGAGCTTGCTCCACACACAGATCCCCAATAATAAAATGCTGCTCTGTATCCCAAAGAGAACCTAGAGAGCAGAACAAGTGAAAAATCCAGAGTGTAGACATCTTCATACAATTACTATGGGTGATAATATAAGTTAAAAGTAACCATCAGGAAGATGCTAATTCTCCTAACCAAGATGGAATTAGATAGTGAAATCAACATCCAAACGAAGAAGTGTTCTACTGGGTGCTTCACACAGGTTTACATGGGTTGGACAAATGCATACTCCAGTCACAGTAAAGAGGCAACATTTCAATAACTGTGCTCTAGAACTGACTGTAGAATTAATCCTAATTGGCAGCCTGGGCCTAGTGTGAATTTTGAGACTAGTTCAACCAACAGGAAAGAGTGACTACCATGTTGTCAAATTTAATGGAACTACAATGTTATCACATTGTGTGAAGAGTTAGCTAATACTAACCTGATGGCGCATAATCATCATGTTATCAATTAATGGAAAATTGCAGGGTATAATCAAGGAGGAAAGAATCACACAAATTTCAAGAAAGAATTTTAATGCAAAAATTAGAGGTATGGTAACTGTGATAGGAACCTCGAGTCTTTTTTTAAATCAGTAAGCTTGTTAAGATAGAGTCTCCTGGAATCTTTTGAATAACTTCTTCCTGGGCTTTTTGCAGCCTGGACAGAGCTGCAGCTTACATGACTATCAACAAACTCTCCTCCAACAGTGGCTTGTTTATGTTCAGAGTTTCCTCCTTTCTTCTCAGCCTTTTCAAAGTCTCTCATACAAAGAATGGCCAAAATGTTTGACTTCAAAAGAGGAAATACCTGAAAAATGAACATTGATGTTCAAAGGAATTTAAGAAGGAAAATCAGGATGGTCAAATGTCTCCACAATGTTCAAGAGGTTATTAAAAACCACATCACTGAAGCTACTACATATACTAGAGGAAATATTACATTAAATCTGAGAGGCCTCCAGTGTAATGAATAGCATCAAAGAAGCTATTAAAAGAAAAGGTTCTCCAGAAAATGCAACTGCTGTCCATGCAAGAACAGTAACAACAAAAGCAAAGACCCAGAAATCTGCATTACAGAAATGTAAGGGGGAAAAAAAAGGATGCAAACTGGAATTTTGAAGAGGGTAACTTGAAAAGCAATAATAAAATGCATTCAACTAGCAAAGGAGGTGATCAGATTAGAATGGATGACAATCATCAAAAGACTGAAGAGAAGTTAAATGAATTACTTGCATTTGTCTTCAGTACAAAAGAGGTACTTATGTTTTCAGAAAAGGAATCTGAGGCCTAGAATTTCTAGGCCTTCTTGACAGACTGGGTCCAAATTATATCTGAGAGTTCAAAAAGAACAAATGCAAAATTGATATTTAACAGAAATACAGTATTCTAATATTGCCCTCTGTTCTGGAGGAATGTAAAAGAGCATACCATACTGATGAAAGAAATTACAAGCCAGTTAAGGTTTTCTGGATTAATTCACATAAGTCATTATTAAAATACAATGATGAAGCATATAAAGAAAAACAAGCCAGCATCTGGAAGTCCTACCTCACTAATCTTCAGAATTCTTCAGAATGTCGACAAGCATGTGGATAGAAATTCAGCAGGGTATTCTTCTTCTTTAGATTTTCAAAAAACTTTTCAGAGTCTTATTAGCAAACTTAGCAATCGCGTGATAAGAGAAGTTGTCTTACAAAGCTGTAACTTATTAAAGAACAGAAACCTAGGCAACATCCAGGTTCTGTGCTGACTCTCAACTGGCAATGAGAAATCAAAAATGGAATCTCGGAGTTCTAGAAAATGTGCCAATGTGTGCCTTCTGTAAAAGACACTAATACATCATGAGGGATAATTAGGAAAGGAATCTAAAATAAACCTGCAAATTCACATTGTATTTATATAACTCTATAGCACATCCATACTTTTAATACAGTTCTGGTTACAGCACCTTAACATGTTCATACAGAGCTGAAAAGGAAGCAGAAAGCTTAACAGCTGGGGGGGGGTGGAAAACCTCATATGCTTTCCTCATGTTTGGGTCTTTTAACATTTGTTGTGAAAACAGAGCAATGGGGAATATGTTAAACATGTAAAAAAATATTCCAGGGTAGAAAAATGGCTCAAAAGACATTGGCAGAAGATTTGGGCCTATAAAAGCAACTCTTTTTTGCATAGCATATGTCAAACTTGCACCCGCAGGATGTTATGGCTGCATAATTAGTTATGACTGCACCCATGGCAACTTTTAAAGTACCTAGAAGTCACTTTCAGCATTTGATGTAATTTACTTCTCCTGACCAGTTGCTGGGTTTGCACACTGAAAAAGGTTATTACAGTGAGCGCAAGCAGGTAGCAGCCTTGAGCCGAGTTTCCCTGATCTTGGCTAAAAAAGCTAAGAAGGTTAAACCTGAATAGTACCTAAAGGGTAAACTACCAGGAAATCCATAGTTGTTGGCTAGGCTGAGAAGCTGGAAAGTGTCCTGGAAGAAGACAGGGACATTTCGGCTGTCCATGCTGGGAGCCCACGGGGGCCAATTGGATAAATAAACAGAATTCCTGCCAAGAAAACTCCAAAGTTACATATAATTCTGAAATCTATCTTTACCTGCCTGTGGGCTTCCCATATGCATCTGGATAATGGGAACTCAATGTTAGACTAGGAAAGGCTTTGATTTGAAGGCACTGACATTGTTTGTATATTTTATGAATCCACTATTTGTATTTTACAAAATGATGGAATCAACATAAGTAGCACCTGCATACAGCCATTAAAAAAAAGGCAGCGAGCATCATCTCATGCTCTCACATGTTGCCACAGGGCCTGCAGGTGCTATGCGATCACACATTGTTGTATCTGGAAGTAGTGTCAAATTTAAAAAAGGGCTTAAAAATTGCGCACAGAGAAAATGTGGTATTAGGGATAATGCTAGGTTAACATTCTTCTTCCTGGCATATCATTCTCTATGTAAAAGCAAGATATAGCTTTGTTTTGTTTTTCCCAAATCCTCTGCTATTGCTACTCAGCCCCTTGATTAGCAATTCATTTTGCAATAAGGTCACCGAGAAAGGACTGGAGTTGAGCTGATGTCTCCATCTAACAAATTTGCCTGGTGCCATGTGCAAGACTCTGATTTGGCCTGTGATTGCCAGCTGAATAGCTAGACAATAAAACTGTGTGCAAAGGGCTCTGATACCCATAATGGCATGTGCTTAATTTAGAAAACTTAAAAGTAATATGATCTACACCTGAATGACTTACAAGTAAAGATACCTAAATAAAAGAGAAAGAAAGAGAAAAAGAGAGAGCTGAAGCATATTCATTATGGAACTAGCCATAATGTACATAAACCACATTTTAAAAACCTTTAAATAATCATTGTATACTATGATTTATGGGATCAACGATGATCCCATATACTGAAATACTGAAATATGTTTTGTGCTGGATTTTTGTAATGCATGAAGAGACACTAAGACTTTGGCTCATGTTAAGAGCTCAAGAAAGTTTGTTTATAGACTGAATGAATGGAGGTTTGCTACACCCAAGTAAGAAGTTCCTTGACCCTCCCTTGAATTGGGCACAACACAATTTCAATGCAACAGTTCAAAAACGGAATAATTATTTATTGTTCCAGAAGTACATTTCTCTTTTATACATATTTAATAAATGATACAGGATTTTACACATGTTCATTGTTTTGTTTTATTTTTAAGGTCTTTTCTCCATGCCCCCTCCCTCACCCCAAACACACTCAAAGAATTCTGCTACAGGACTGTTCATGTTCTTCCTTTTTAAAATGCTGCATACAAAGATGAACAGATAATTTAACAATTTTTATTTTTCTAAAAAAAAAAAAAAAAACTAAAAGGAGAAAGACAGGAAGAAAGTAGGGAGAGAAAACATCTTGGAACATGCATCCATTCAGCTCAACATGCCATCGAGGGCGAGGAGGCAGCAACAATCTCATCTGCAAGGCACCTGGCGTCTGATTTATATTTATTTTACACTTTAAAACATGGATCCCCAGAAAGCGGGAGCCTCTTGCCTTGACACAGTGAAAAGTAGTGAACTGAAAGGAAATTCCAAGTCTTCCTGAAAACTGAGCTTAGAGACCTTCTCCAATATCTATCCTGTCTTCCCAGGAACAGGATGACAGAGGAGGCCACAGATTCCATTTAGCACAGGAAAAGATCATCAAGCTTGCAGAAGGTGGTGGAGGACAAATGCCTTTCTCCCATGCCTTTAAGGGGGGAGGGATTGCATCTGCTCCTGTGCAGAAACCCTGACCCTTCAGCATCAGACCATTCTTTTACAGCTACTTAAAGAAGAGGGGGATGGTGAATCAAAGTGCAACTGTAGCCTTTGCTTATCAAGACATGGTTATTCTGCTAGGCAAACGTAGTATTTAATCATCCCCGTTTTAAGGGATTTCATAAAGCATCATGATCTCAAGCCAAGTATCACATACATATATGCATTATGCTCAAACTCTTTGATCTGCTTTAACCCAGATGGCTACCATATTTGGGGGGAGAAAGAGTAGGGGGAAGGAACATTCCTCCCTTAAGACTGTATATGAAGAGTTTTCTCATGCAACATCACCATTTATGCATAAAAGTTGATCAGGGCAGTGAAGTTGAAGAAGATACTCAGGAATAATCCCATGTTAATTATCAAATGTTCACAACATGAATTATTCAGTTTGTGATACGGATAAAACTGATAACATCAATAATCCTTCAGTAAAGGATAAAGTTTGCTTGATAGGAAACGGATAGGGAGGAAAAGGTCATGATTTGGTTTTTTTGAGTAAGAAGTAAAAAGTAATTTTGCATTAATATTACCACAAAAAAAAAAAGACACACAAGGGATAATCTTGGGTTGCATGTTAATGGAGACATTACTTCAATTTGGATCACCAATCATGGTGTCTTAAAATGGCTTGATTGTTTCCTTCTCTTGTTTAGTGCAGTATTATTGTTGGTAGTTTGAAAGAGTTAAAAAAAAATGCTGAGCAGGCTGCTGGTGCTTCATCAAGAGGCAGACACTGCAAAGCTGGAAAAATATGCCCCCAATACAATTTCTTCATGAAATGCCCACCTTCATTATATATGTTTTCATCCAAAAGAAAGAACATTTGAATGAGACAATCTTTAAGCCCTTTGGAAAGACTTAACATTCCACAGTGCCTGATTTTTATTTTTATTTTTTTGATTGAACACATTACCCCCTCCCTAGTCAAGGTCTTTGTTTTAATGATTAAAAAACCCTCCACCCCAAGAAGACCTCCCATCTTCCACCTGAAATGCTTTCTAATTAAAGAGGCAAGAACTAGAACAGATCTGCCACTTCTGCCAAGATACAGAGGTCCCCTGATGATCAGTCTTTATCGCTGATTTGTTGAACGGGTAGATGCACCTGCAAGGGATCTCGAAGCCTCTTAAGGTCCAATTCTGCCTGAAAGTCAACAGAATGAAGACATAAGGACCATATTTCTCTCCCTTGTGCTGTGGAGTAACACATTTTCCACTGCACAGTAACATAACTATTACATCGCTACAGAAATACATACTTGAAAATAGTCAAATCAATGTAAGGACAATGCAATGCCATGAAAACAAGTATAATAATTTCATTCTAAGTCCACCATATCCACATTCACAAAAGGTCTGCACAGGAACTGGAAACCCAGGAACTTTCCAAGAGGTAGAAGAAACTGTTGAACCCATTTTAGACTTATATGCACACCCCATTCCAATAGACCCTTACTTATAGAAGAGAATATATGTAGCTCAGGGTTGAATTGTGGAGTCCTTGGGGTTCTCTGAGCTTGGTTGCTTTCTTGCAGACATTTCGTTACCCAGCTAGGTAACATCTTCAGTGCTAAAGATGTTCAGCACTGAACATCTTCAGTGATAGGTAGCACTGAAGATGTTACCTAGCCAGATAACAAAATGTCTGCAAGAAAACAACCAAGCTCAGAGAACTCCAAGGACTCCACAGACTCTTACTTTTCATATACAACCAAGTCTGTAATGTTCTATGGAAGCCAAGATAATGCCAGTGACAGTAAGAATAGCATTTCCAACAGGAAGGCATGGTGACCAACAGTTTCAAAAATACTAGCCAACTAAGTAAGGCAGTATGGAGTAGAGCCAAACCACGGTGGGCCTGATAAAATTAAGAAATTGAAGCCATGTTGGCTCAATCTTGAACTTTATTGGATTTTGCATTGCAATATGGTCAAATCATGGAATGAAGGTGTTTTAATAATTGGATGGTAAAATAATGGATAGCTGGCAATTTTGAAAATCAGATGCCATGGATTGAAAACAGCTTCCAAAAATGGAAAATGATGCAGAAGAGAAGGGGAGGTTTTATGGATAGACTTTTTTCTTTTGCAAGTTCTTCAAATGTTCCCTTTTTTGCTTTATGCTCCCACAACCTAGTGAAACCCCCAAATTTCAATCAGTGAATAATTTCAATTCAAGGTTACACCAAGCATCTCAAATTAACATTAGCTATAGTAGTCTCTGCATGAAATTCTTATATATATTTAATCTCCATGTCTTACTTGCCCTAGAAAGCCCCTCACACAAATTGTCGACAAAAGATTTGGAGTTTAATTGCTATTACACATAATCAATTGTCTGAAGAAAGAGATCTCAGATGCGCAGGCAAAAACATACATTTTTGAATATACATTTGCTTATTTTGTCATTGCAAAACACACTAGGGTTTTGTCTTTCCAATGTCTTGCAGGTTTAATCAGCTATTTCAACTTTCTTTGGGGCTTACAACTAACATTATAAAATCAGCTGTGAATACCAGTGTCTTCTGGAATACAAAATGAGAGAAACATTGAGGAAAGCAGATCAATGAATTATTGAATTTTCAAGAACTAATATGGGACAATTTCCTATTTCCCCCTAATTTCTTCCAGGATTTATTTTCATTACCTGAGCAATAGCATTCTTGAGTTGATTGTATTTTTCTAGATCAAAACATGTCTTTTTGGCTCCTTTATGGAAAAATAATAAGTACTGCCTGTCTCTAGCATCTGGATATACATATTCCTATTGAATGAAAAAATAAATTAAATGAAACCCTAGACATGAATAGTTATTTATCAATAACCGATTAGGAAGGACAAGAAATTAAACTCTTGATTAATTTGTATCTGCATTAGTTCAACATAGAATAGGGACAAATTATATGTCACAGAATAAAGTTAATCCTCAGCTATGAATCTGAGCATCAGATCTGATTATCAACTGAATAGTGATAATATATGAAGTCCTTTTGGCATACTTACGATTAGCTGTACATGCAGGAACTGAGCAAAGTAACAGACAATATGTCATTTTAAATATGCAACGGAAAGCAATTCTTGACAGCTTAGTCAATTTAATTTTAATTTTGTTCAATACTGGTTGAGTAATTTAAGCCACCTAGAATCTGAATGATGTATTACAAACTACATACATACATACATATATACATACATACATAAATGGTTACATAGCTTGTTAGAGAACAGCTGTTAGGATATGAAACTTTGCTCTGGTACAGTAATGCCGAGTATGTTATTGTGGAGAAGGGACAGGAACCCAAACTATAAGCTTATTTGATGTTCATTAGTCCCACCACCAACTACTCCATAGATGGCCAATCTTTTTTGAAGGCTACACAAGTTACTGGACTGAAGTTGCAGATGCACAGAGGCTAATTCACACCTGTACATGCCATCTCGTACTTCTTCATATTCAGTGATCCCAAATAGTGCCAAAAATGGGGAAGAAAGAAGCCAGGATTAGCTTTATATTAACCTTAGGAACCATCCAGGCCCTGGCACTCAGATGTTGCTGGAAGTGATATCTAGAAGTGCTATTAGAATGGCATATATAGCCCACCTTCCCTTAAGCTCTCAGAGAAGAATGATTCTGAAAACCCCACACAGGATGTAAACTATGTAAAAATAAATTATTTCCCTCCTACTCCCCACTCCTGCCACAAGGAGAGGGTGTGGAAGTAATGTAAAACCTAGTACACGGGAGCATGAAATAACATACACCTGTATCTTTTCTCTGAATGCTTAAGGGAAGGTAGATTGCATATACCATTCTGATAATGCCATCAAATCAGTATAGATCACTGGCCTCCTGATTCTCTTAGCAGCAGAAAACCAATGATCAGTGGGGCACCACTAGCAGCAGGATAATAAGAGGGAGCTGTGTGATGGCAACCAGATGGCAGGTCCCCCTACCACTGATCTGCATTCCACTGGGGTTAAGATACAAAATGCAAATATTCTAAACACATCTCTGCAATGGATTTGGAGAACATAGTTCCTGGCCTACATTTTTAAAAAGATAACATAAATGACCCTATAAATTTAGACAGAAGTCTGAAAGTGACCTGTAATAACTTGAGAAGGATTCCCCATACACTCATCCTTTAGCTTCAGTATATTCTTTGCCTATTCAAGGAGCTTTTGTGGTTCAGTGCAGCAGTAGGAAAAAACACATAGAAGTCCCAAAGGAAGTACAGATCGTTACCAGAGAGTATTAGCTAAAATACAAAATTAGAACCTTAAAGACCAGTTCACACAAGTTTATGTACTAGGGCTATGCAAAGCTTTGAGTGACTCTTTTCTCTGACAAAGGTTCAAGTGAAGCACCCTCTCATAATTGTTTTTTGAAACAACATGCTTCCCCTGCCCCACCCACTTCTAAGGGTGAGTTGAAGCAACCAGATTATTTGCATTTTTCTGCTTTGCAGCCTCTTTGAGTCTTGTTCTGCAGCATTAACATTATGAGAGGGGGCTCCCATAGGGGGAGAGGAGACTTTTTCAGTAAATACTGAAGGAGAAGATGTAGAGGAGGTGATGCAGTTCATCTTGAAGCATCACTTCAAACCTCTTCAGGTCAGTGTGGTGAGAGAAGGCTCCTTTTACCCTTCTGCCCAAACATTTTCTGAGTAGCCAGCTTTGGCAAACTAAAACTGGAGGGCAGGTCTTTGAAGTGCCACAGATTGTTCTTTGGCCTTCCTTGGCAGAGAGAATCACGTCAGCTCCACAATGCACATCTCTCTGTTGAAGTGAAGCTATATCATTTTGCCCAGGCTTGACATAAATTATGCAACTTCTTTTTTTTCCCCCAAAGAATTCCCTACAGAATTGAATTAAATGCAAAGTAAATCTTACCTGACGTGTTACTACGAAGTATGCATACATTGCCATGGCGCTGCCATATGTGATGAAGTATGTGACTGGCTCCATAATGTCCCAAGAATATTCCCACCAGGTGAGCCGAGCCAAAATTCCAAATTGGGTTGCCATGTAAGCCAGCCCGCCCCAGAGTAGCCAGGTGGTCCTCTTCTCTGCTTTTCTGCAGATTTCCATCCTAACCTACAAAAGAACATTGTTCAGAACTTGTACAGCACTGAGGAGTTGCTTTTTTAAAGAAGTCAAAACATAACCTAAGCATTGCCTATTCAGATGTGCTTTTAACGTCGATATTTTTGACAGGGGACTAAAGGACTGATCATTCAAATGCAGAATGACCAACTGTCCATTCTTTTTGTGTAGTTAGCATTTGTTTCTGCTTAACAACAGTGCCCTAATATGGTCCTTCTCATTTTAAAATAAAATAGTTCAAATTAAGATGCCCCCGCTTCCAATTTTTACAGAAAGAAGGGAATGCTTACAGATAAACCTGAGGAGGGAGTACTCCATCATGTCCTTGGAATGTCTACCTTCAGGATCTATTACTGGCAAAAACATCACTGGCTTCCCACGGACCATTCCACTGGCATAACAGAGGCCTCTTCTCCAACAGTGGAATAGAGTTCCTCCCCCATCATAATCCCTCTTGGGCCAGTCTCCGAGTAGGAGCCAGGATTCTTCTGTTACTTGTGGTAAAAGGAGTCAGCCAAAAGGTTCTGGTTGGAAGGAAGGCTACTAGTTATAAATAGAAAGTTCAGCCAGCACTTGTTCTTGGTCTGGATTTGGCATTTCTACATGTCACAAGCCTTTTCATTTTTTGAAAGCACAGCCAACCCCAATTTCCCATTCCTTTTCCATGGTGCATTTAGATCACTCTTATGCACCAATCTTGCTTAGTCCAAAACCAGGAACTATGGTTTAACCCTGACGTTCAAAACAGGGGTTTCAGATCCTGATGACTAAACAGACATTAACATCATTCCTTATATTGAACAGTATTGAACAGAGTGGTTTAGCAAACTTGATAAAGACTGATGAGCAAAGCCAGTACAGACACAAGAGGAGTGCGTGTGTTTGTGCATGTGCACCTGAGAGCCTGATACTTAGCTGAGGACACCAAACCAAGATTGAATAAACTGGGGAAACAGTGCTTTACAGCAACTCATGTTCCTCCCCCCTCCCTTTACTGCTTTTTCAGTAAAAATGGATAAACCCAGCTGTAGCCAATTCATTAGATAAGTCTCAATGTGTTGCAGTCGGAAGAGTTGGTTCAAGAATATCTGCCAATCACCTGTAAACATTGGCTGCATGGGGGTCAGAAGATTTTTGTGGTAGTTTATGTTTCCTTGATATGATCTTTAAGTCAATTATTGGAATGCGTAATAGATATTCCTTAACAACTTGAATATTAGTCCAAGAAATAATTTTACATGTGAAAAAGAAGTGAATGAGTATCTTCTTTTCCATCTTTTGCAAAGATCTGATAAGGTTGCTAAAGCTATTAATGTACAATACAGGTTCTGGGTTTAGCTGTCAAGCCAACTGAAACAAATCTCAGTGCCCTCACTTTCTCCAGGGGTGCCAATTGCTGCTTGAGGTCTTCTAACCTCCCAATCAATTCCTTCTCTTTATTCAGCTGGTGTTCTTCAATACATAGTGTGGTATATAACTGCTGAACCAGGGTCTTCACATCATTCAACGTGGTGGCATCTTCATGGCTTAAGAGATCTAAAAAAAAAAGACAGATTCTGATACAGTTCTTCCATAGGACTGAAATTTACAAAATCAAATAACATAGAGGATGGAATTATTTGGATGACTTAATGCGTACCATGGCAACTCATGTTCTGAGAAGTTTTAAAACAATCACACCCTGTTCCAGTATAAGAATTTGGCTTATACTTGCCTCTCCTGTGATAAAAATCAAGAAAAAGCTTCTATGCTGGACTGGCAAATTACAAAACAGGAAAGCCAGGAATTCCATTTAAAATTCAGTATCAAAACTATAATTTCACTGTTGGGCCATACCTTAACATTGCCTTTATTTTTTATCTGTTAAGCTAAAAGTCCCTTCTACGGCAAATAACTCAAAGTCACCTGAGTACATACCAGTTTTGCAACATTTAAAAAAAAGAAAGAAATGTAAACAGTAAATTACAAGCTTTGATAATGTTAGGTCTTGGTATTTAACATTAATTAGCTTGTTGGACTCTATCAGTGAACAACAGATAGCTATAATAGTACTATAAATAAGGAATGCATGACTACGTGGAAATTGTACTTGGATGGAAAATCTCCAGGGTTGTAGGTTGGATTGGGAAGTCAAAAAAGCATTTCAGAAGGCACTAACAATCCACTTTTGTATTATTGCCACGTCTCCATGTGCTTATCATGTCAAGTTTGACTTACAGGAGATATTTTCAAAATTTGCATTATCAACTGGAATAAAATATCTCAGTATAAAACAGAGGATGCACTTAGAAGTCGACATATAACTGAGCAGTGAAGTCCACCCTTGCTTTCTTATAGTTCACATTCGATGCAATCAATAATTATTTTGTCTTATGATTTCTATTTATAGGTTGGTAAATATTAAAAAATGACAAAATATGTTAATTCAGGTCATTAAGACCCATACACCGAATTTCTAGTTTGAAATGAAGTTAGAATAAATGCTGTCAAGACAAACCGAAATATATAGAACCTTGCATGCAGTAAATTTCAGTACACAGTTTTCAGGCTTAGCATGCCTTAGTTAATTTTAATTGAAATCTACAGAAGAAACCAAGTTAACCAGACATCATTTCAGAAGTTATATAATAGCTGGTAATGCTTATAAATCAAGAGAACACAACATCTGAAACAGGCCAAGACTTGCAAGCTCTAATCTTTTAAATATAAACAATAAGTTTGCTTATGATATAAAATATTTTCATATGAATATGTTTCAGAATGTCAAAGAAGCAATGCAATTGCCACATATAATTAAACTTTTCTTTCCAGAATCAGGTAGCACTACATCTCTTAGGAAACAGATCTGGTTTTGAATTTTCCATGCCAGCAGAAAAGCACCCCTGTTCCATAAGGACTAGGAAATGTCACACTTATGTGGTTCTACAGGCAGGATTATTAAAGACAGGCAGTATGAAACACATTACACTTCTGTGCATTCTGATGAAGTTTTCATCTTTAAAAATAATCTATGGAGGACACTGAGAGTCATTTTGATTATGGCGGGGTAAAAGGATGATTAACAAATAAATCATAGATAAATTGTATGCATGCAACTATGTTCAAACAACATGATCTTTGCATGCAAAGATCTGTGGATCAAAGGAAAATATCAACACTGGAATCTGAAATAAAACTTGAGCGGGATCTTCCTCCCCTCCCCTTATAAAACCATGCATATGGAGCCCTCAGAGCAAAGCAGTGGCCTTTTTTCTGAACAACCTTCTCAAATTACTTTGGAGTAAACACAATGAAAATGTAGCCTCCTCCACAAATGTAAGCACCTGCCAGAGTACTTGTAGCCTATATCACTCTTGGCTGATTTCTCCATCTATTTAGCATTCAATCCCACCCTATTTCACATTTCATTTCCCTCTTAATACATTAAGGTTTATAAGGGTATATAAAAGCAGCCAAGTTTCACCCGTTTACAAAACCAAAGCAACATAAAACAGAGCATGTATGAAATCACTCATGTCTTGCTTCATGTAATGATAAAATTAGAACATAAAACCAAAATATAATCCAGAGATGGGCCCTACGTGAAGGTCATTAGGCGACATCAGGAGTATGCCCAAAATTTTTGGCTCACATTGCAGGAAGTTTAAGGGTGGGAGAAGAAATGGAGGACTTTTGAGAGAAGTAATATTCTAAAGAACTATGAATGTAGAGCTACTGCCCCATCTGATTCATACAAGAACTTCTGATATGAGAAAGAAAAACAACCACATAAGATAAGATGTGCTTAAGTTCACAATGGACAGGACAAGCTACCCACCATAAGAAAAGTTTGAGTGAGCACACATTCCAGTCATTTCAAGTAGATTTTTTTCCTGTTATGTATCTGAACTAAAGAGTCCCCAGAAGGCTACAGTTGTAAGACTTTGATCCAAGCTAATATTGCTTAACTTTATCTTTATACACCAGGGCTCAACGCAATTTGTTTGAGCTTTCATGCTTCCTGTTATGCACATTTTACTGAACAGAAATTGTATCTTTGTATATGAAGTATGTACAAGGCAGCCTTAAAAGTCTATTTAAGCTACTCCTATGGGTAAGGAAATCTATCTTTGCTTAAAAGATGTATCTTTACATAAATAACAAATGACAAAGTCAGTTAAAAAGCCCTTTGTTTTTATCTTTTGCATTTACTTGAAAATGTGACACTGACTGTTCATTGTGAAGAGAAAAGTAGCATGGAACAGCCTCCCCAAGATACAGAGATCCTTGACCCTCTTGGCCTTCCAGAAGGCTGCGAAGACCTAACTCTTGCCCCAGGCACTGGCCAAAATACTACTTAAGCCCAGCAGATTAATTTTAATTTCTTATTATGATGACAAATTAAACTAAATGGTTTTTATGATGCATTGACTATTGTATCACTGTATTATAGTTATTTTTATTTAATTTAGATTATGTTTTGAGGTTTTATTTTACGTTTTTTGTGAATTGTTGTTAGCCTCCTAGGTTTATGCATTTATGATGGATGACCATATAAATCCCCTAAATAAATACATAAATAAACAAAATCAAGCAAGCAAGCATATCAGTCTGAAAGAACAAGCCCCCCCTTTTTTTTACCACAAAAAGATCCTAAGAACATACTTCAGTTATACTAAAAATGAAGAACCCTAGTGCTTTGAAACAACTTGGGTACGGAAAACAATTACAGCATAAAGCCAAACAAGGGAAGTCTTTCTGATAGTCATGCATTATAGCCACCTTTAAAACAGACAGCCTTTACAGAACAATATTATCTCTTCTACTTCATCGGATTGAAGGTGTTTTGCAACAGCTCCTTTTCTCAAAAGTAGAAGTCACTTTATAGCACAAAACATCTTTCAATTTTTCATTCAGTTTCTCATTCAGGTTTATCTCAACTGACTTCCAGAATAATTAGGACCCAGGATTTTAGCAGGTGATAAATGGATGCTGCTTGCAGTTATCAGTTCATATCTGAAATCCCAATCATTATCATGGCATAGAAGCTCACAGTCTTAATATAATCTTATAATTTGCTCTAGTGATCTTGTCTGGCAACAGGATGTTTTCTTTTAAAAAAGTATCCACGTTCATTATTATTTCTGTTTTGGTTCCAAACATATTAAATACAAGTAAAAGGAATTTCAGTTCAGGAAGAGATGCCTCCATTTTCCCATTGATTCTCAGGCTAAATTTCATTCCATCTCTAACCTCTGTCCTTCAAGATTGACTTTTCAGGAAGCTTGTAAGGCAACTCAGAGAATGTGAAGAAACACTTTTGGTCTATGAGCCGGGCTCTACTGCTGCTTTTGGAGTACAAGTTCACATATCTCACAACTACCAGTTCTGATAAAATATTCCTTAGTAAGTTAACTAGCTTATGGGGCTTGCAATCTTTGCAGCTATAACTTAAATCACCATGAAGTCCATTCATCTGCCACTATTTCAATTATATAGTATCTTAGTGATAGGATCCCCCACTAGAATCATTCTCTTATCAAATGATCATAAGTAGGTAATCAGTAGTCTGCCTTCAAGAGTGTGGGTTCTTTTTACCAGATTCCCTGCAACGTTTTCAATATAAAGTCTTTCTTATGGAAAATGGAATTCTATTATTCTTTAATCAAGGAAAAGTAGAATGAAAGAAGAATGTATGAGTATATAGGAAAAAAGTGTCAGCCAACACACAGAGAACACACAACTAAACAGGATATTAGAGCATTGTTCTCAAGGCTTGGAGATGTAGCATGGATGTTCATGATGGTCAGCAATAGCATATTTATGCAGAATTCTGAATGCACTACTTTGCCGAAGATGCAACTTTCCAAATGGAAATGAAATTATATTTTTAATTACTAGATGGAGGATTTTTCTGCAAATGACTTCTGGAAATATATCCCAATTGCATGAAGCTGTTACCTCTCTTTGGTGGACGAACATGGTAACTCAAGTCATTAATTACTAGTTTGAAATCATCAAGGAGTAGGAGATCTATGCTTGTGGAAGCTGCTACTCGTGTCCCATCTGAAAGGAAAACAGGAACAGATGTATTAAGAGCTAGATATGACTTATTAACATTCATATTCCAGCAGTGTTCCATTGCAAATTAGCATATTCTACATTAGAGAAATGATTTGAAACTACACTTTAATGTTTCCAAGATATAATCTCAATATCTCAGAATCTAAGCTATTCTTTTGTAATTCCACCTGATAGAAGCAGAGCTGTGTATGAAAAAACAGTTCATTACCAAATATATAAACCAAAATAAGTGGCTATAGATTTAAAGTGACATAATAGTGGTAGGAACCTATTTCTACCTTTTTAGTTGCAAACAACTTTCTACTTTCAAATGCTTTTCCCAGTGGAGCCCTAAGACCAGAAACAGACTTGAGGAGAAGAGATGTTTCCTGATGGATACTTATTGCAAGCAAGAAATGGCAAATGGGGAGACTGTTTTAACATCTTTTGTCCACTTCTCTTCTGCTTTTATCCTCATCCACTGACAAACATTTGGCCAACACACGTTATAACACAGAGAGAACGTGTTAGATATAATTAAGACTTTCTATTTCATATTTTAGGTGGTAACTACAACTTGGTAATTAACATTTTCTTCTTCGGAACTTCAGTTTGTTTGTAACAAACAGTAGGCCAAAAAGCTTCATACTATTTTTCTTTCTCCAAAAACCAAGTGGCTATTCTTGCACAACACCAACCTCTACAGATTTAGCACAATGTAACACAAAAAACCTCAACAAAAAAAGTGAAATATAGCTACATCAGTAGCACTGAGTATAAATAATTCACGAACAGCAACAGTTTCATCATCTCAGCTAGAAAGCCATCTAAATTACAGCAATTCTATTGTTCACCAAGAAACAAAAGATAACCAATAGAAACAATGGTTAACCAATGTAAAAAATGAGACCTCAAAAATATCTTTTATTAAATAAGCTTAAACATTCTATCTATCCCTATTTTTTGCCAAAGGTCAACATTTTCTATTGGAAAGCTTTCTTTTTATCTAGATTTACAAGTCATTTAGTGAAAAACTGAACTGAAAAGTCATTTAGTGTAAATTTATTACCAAAACAAAGGGTATGTTGTAAATATAGAAAGGAACAGCAGAATCTAAAGCAGTGTTTCTCAACCTTGGCAGCTTGAAGACTGTGTACTTCATCACCCAGAATTCCCCAGCCAGCACGCTGATCTAATGTAATGCTGAAGGAGTTCATTGGATTCCTCCAGTAATGCTCAATAGTACCTGGTGAATAAACTGCAACTCGATCGATTCCCCGGTCCTCTGCCTGGAGTTGCTGTAAGAATACTCCGACGGAATCTGAGAGAGGCTTAAGTGTAAACTGGCAGCGTTCACGACGAGAAGGAAGACTCAAAGATATCACCGGTAACCCGTTTTGGTAAACCACTGTAACGTCTAAGAAGGATAACCATGGACAAATGAAACAGATTCAGAAAGACATGTTAAAATGGTGCTAAGTTGAAGCCTACAGACAAAAGGAACATATTCACATAACTAGGTGTCCTCTCATGGATAGTTTAATTGGTTTTGCTGCACATTGCAGTGGGCTGGGCAAGGTTTCTTGAGGGCCTTTCCAACTTTATACTTCTATGATTTCTAAGGCAAGCACTATTCTTTTTGAAGATAGCTAGGTATTGCTCTGATCTTTTTTCTATGTGGATAAATAAATAAATCAGCCTTAAGTGCTGCCTAGGAAAATGGGTTTTTCATGTAACAATAGTTTCTGAACATAGGTCACGAAACAGTAACTACTTGGTTCAAAATAAATGTTATCCATGTCCCAGAAGGGTGAGATCATAGCAAAGATCAATTTTATATCCCATTGAATATAGAAATTGAATTTCTCATTTTGTATTTGGGGGAAATGGTTTAATTTTTAAAATGTTTGAAGCCACATTATAGACTGTAAAGAAGATGACCTTGATGGAGATATGCAAGCTCCACTGCTACGGCAACAAGGAGTAAAACATTTTTTGAAGTCCAGAACATCCAGATAATGTTTGAAAGTGGCTCAGACAGACACCTCCCTAATTCACTGAATTTCAGGAAAGAAGAGGAAGTACAACATAATCAGATTTGCAAGATTCTGGTATTACAGCCAATCTCAATAAAAGTAGTTTTAGCCTTCCTGTGGAATTGATTTCTTGGTCTGGTCTACCTAGTGGGGCTGACACACATATAGAGGTAGGGCTGAAATGTCAGACATTTGGGATCTGGATAGCTTTTAAGGGATGTGTGTGTGTGTGTGTGTAAAGCTTAATGCATTATTTGACTCCCAAATTGGAAAAAAAACCAGTTTTGTTGTCCAATTTCAGCAGCACATTCTAACTGCTGTAAAAGTAGGGCTAGATACTACATAATATACAAGTCTTCTGTGGTCCACACCTTGCAATGTACTATAAGTAACCACAGAGTTTTATATGCAGGTCAGAATGAGATGACTGCTTTAGGTAACAGATGTGGTCCATGAAATGGGGAAGAATAGCACCAAGTTATTGGAGAACAGAGCTGTAGGACATCACCATATTTAGCCCATTGCTTCAGAGGGAGTTAAGGTTGCCCTCCCACCATCTGTGTTAGATGTGCTGGTTATGATGCAACAACCCACCACCACTTTATATTAGAAATCTAGGTCTTAAACTTGCATATTTCCTCAGTCATCTTGCTTTTCCATCCTTTCTCATTCTTGGCAAGGCAAAATGCAGTCTTGAATCAATAAAACAATTGAAATAATATTTTGCATGTTGATAAGATGATGCAACCTGTGGTTTCAAAGGGTTATCTCTAGGATATTCCCTATGGAAAGTTAGTTCTCAGCATCTGTGAGCCAGTTAGGTTTAGCAGAGAGATAAATAGAGCACAAGCCATGCCTTTGAAAAAAAGAAGGCTGAGCCAGGCCTGATCAATAGCTTCAAATACTTGGAGGAATGACTGGCTGCTACACATGACATTTTCTAGAACTTCATGCAATATTTCTTCTTCCTTTCCTGTTCAACATGTAAATACCCACAGGCCATTTTATCCTTTGGTTATGTGTTTAAAGGTTTTAAATATACAGTATTTCTGCAATCTCACAGTTCTTCTAATTCTGCCAATATTTTCTCTCTTGAATTTAGGCAATGTCATTTGCATTAGCAGTAGCACCCATCATTCATAATCTGAAACAAGTGGAACAATTTGATTACATAAGAAAATATGGCTACATAAAATTTGTGGCCAGTGCCTTCCCTTGATGAACTGAAAAATCTACTCCTTCTAATTATCTTTTGCTTCTAAAAAAGTAAGTTTTCTGTTTGAACTATACTTTTTTTCTGCAGAGACAGTAGAATGCTAGGACCCCTTACTAATTTTTTATCCTGAGAAACTATATCTTGACTTCTAACCTACATAGTATCCTATGCAATGGATGGATGTTTCCCAGATTATTTTTTTCTGAAAATCAGAATAAATTGATATTGAACTAACACTTCAATTATTGTACCTTATCGTACCTGTTGAGTTCTCAAAGAAAAAATTATCCTAAAGCTAACTAACTTGCTTACCAATAATAATAATAATAAAAGAAAAGAAAAATCCAAAGAAAAAGCAATAACTTTATGCCTCCTATTCCTCCAGCTTAAATATGCATAACTCTTCTGTTTTACATATATATTCCTCTAAGGGAAATATCACAAAAAGTACCTGTCCAAATTACAAATAGTTTAAATTGAGCTATATAAAAATGTAGTAAATGCTCATTTCCAGCCTTTTAGCAAAGCAGGCAGTTGTTCAGACACACCACTAGAAATTCATCAGCGATCTAGTCACTGGTTTTATGGCCCATCTGGGAAACCTGAAGTTTGCATGCGATAGCAAACCAATTTTAATATACTACTAGTAACGCTGTGACAGGGAATCCCCAAGAACAATTCTCATTTTGACAGCATGATGGTTTTTAGTATTTTAAATGACAAATACCTATTCATTACAATAAAATATCAAATCTATTTTATTTTTAAAACATTGTATTCTCTTTAAGCCCTTCAGCATTTTAACATACTGCTTTAAAAAACAAACAGTTTTAGACACTGATTATTCTCAAATATTTTTGGTAGAATAACATGCATGTCTCAAAATGCCTTTTAGAGAATGGAACGGAATTTTTAAATTCCCCACAATAATCCTCCTTATCTCATAACATTCAAAAGACTGAGCAATGTTTAGAGATTAAAAACCAGAAATTTGTCTACACAGCCCAGGACTTCTTTTAGAGAGCTATGAAGTTCTTTTTTTTCTTACTTGGATTTTATATTTTCATGAAAGATTCAGTGGCTATTAATCTGCTACAACATGGTGCTGTAGACTCCATGTCTTACTACTATTTCTGATAGTACAAGGCTGCCCTTAGAATTGTTTTGCACTATTTTTTGCAACCAGGTGAGCCACAGACAGACAGTAGGAGAAAAATGCAGAGAGAGCAACCACAACCATTCTTAAATACAAATCCAGGTGTATTAAGAAGCAAATACTACTAAAGGAATTTGGGTAAGAATCACAAGCAATATTCTTTCGTCACGCATGGTAGGTGATGTGAATATACAGTAGAGAAAGCTGAAATCTGTCAGCTTGGGATCACATTTGCATTTCAAATTCAATGTGAGATGCAGATAATAAAGCAAAGGTTTTAAAACATCAGTTGTGAAAACTGCATAAACTGATGTATTTGCAAAAGAGAAAGAACACAGAACTATAATAAATGCACAGAATATATACAAGCTAGCTTTTGAAGGAGAGGAAAAAGCACAGGTACGAGACACCGACTGCCTGCAAAAGAAATCTGACCTTCAAGACAAACGCAGAAGCTTGAAATAGCCCTCCATTAGCTTACAAAGACGAGATCTTGGAAAGGAATTATTTGTTTTTGCCATGAATAGCCATGAAGAAAGATCCTTATCTAAGCAGAATATGCAAAGGGAAACAAAATGACAACTGACCCCAAAAATGATGCACCGCATTTTGCAATTCAGTATTGTGGAAAGACTAGAGCAAGCAAGATGCCTCATTCATGTCTTTGAACAGAAAAATGGTTAAAATCACACTAAGAACTGCACTGGCTCTAAGGTAATCTCCTTTTCCATTTTTTTTCCATTTTAAAAACACAATTACTAATTAAACTAAAAACCAAATCCTTGAGCATCTGAAAAATCCCTTCATGAACAATTTATATATATTGTACTCACCGTCAGAGGGCACTACAGTACTGCAATAGACTACTCTCATAGTCTGCAAGGGAGGAAACCTTTGGTGCGCCTAGAAAAATGAGCACAGCACGTTAAGCTTTCTTGTTAAAACAGTAAATGCTCAGTTGTTTCAGATGGCCCATGCCCTGGTACTAATCTTGCCACTTCCTACCATCTACTGCATGGAAGACAGTCAATCAGGTTAACGATGGATGAAAAACTCTAATGTAGATATTCTCTTAATTTAATGTAGATATTTAAAGTAGATATTCTCCTAAACCAATTCTCATACCTTTTATTTTTGATTGTTGGATTGTTAAAAGTCAACTTAGGTAGACATTAAATCTTTAAGTGTACTATGGGGATGAATTTGAAGCTACAAACGGAGGCAGGTCATCCATAGGCTGAAATATTTTATAATATTGGACATAACAAGAAGGGAATATTGCGCCAACAGGATGGGCTATCATTATTTAGAATCATATACACCCACTCCTCGTTTAGGAACCACGTTCCATTCCAACAACCAAGTGAAATGGTCACTAAGTGAACATATGACTGAGAGAGAGAGAGAGACATTGTGAAGATCACTGGTTGCTGCCATCTCATTCAGATAAAGTTCTCTCGTACAGCTATGCCAGCGTTGCTCTCATTCCAGTGTGTGTTGTTTTCAAGCACACGAAATTTGGTCATAAATGTGTGCACTAGTCAGAAAATGAATTTTTTTATTACCATTTATTACCACTATATTTGCAAATTGCCATTAACCGAGGTAGTCACTAAATGAGGAGTGAGCATATTCAGGAATCCCAGCCAGCACAACTAATCCCATTGGTCAGTGTGGGACACTTTATGCAGGCAAACTTACAAGAGAAATGGGGAAATATATACAGATAAAATAGAGTTATAATAGGAAAGATTAAGAGGGATACTTGGAAGTACTGTTCAATCTGAATTAACTGTACATATTTGCCTTTTTTATTTATTGAATTAATTAAACCACATCACAAAGATACAGAATTTGCAAATAATTCCAATTAAAGCTTGCTGCACTTTAAAGGCATATACATCTGTTAAACAAGACAGGTTTTCATTCATTGGAGACACTGACCAAATAATCTCTCCCTCAAAGACTTGTTAATAAATCTCAGTATGTTTTGCAGAAAAAAACAACTGCTTGTTGCAAATCAGGCTGGCATATTTTTTTTTCTTTCACACAAACTCTTTAAGTATTAAGAATCTGCAATCTGATCCATTCTACAAAGCTTACAATTGCACACTTAAACATTCTTTGGCAAATATAAGTCTTATTTTGAAAGTGCTTATTTACAAGTAAAACAATATAGTTTTCATTTCTAAATCAATTCTTAATGAAACCTTTGCTTTTCAGGACAGCTTCAAAGAAATATTAAAGTTGTGCTGAAATCTACAGTATCTATATTTTGTTAAGATCATCTATATTAGTATACCTGAAACAAGAAAAACTTGGTAGAGAGTAGTTGATATTTACTCAGAACAAGCACCAACATTATGAAAAAATACTTTTTTGTGGAAGACCATCCACCATTCTGTGGACTGAAGATACTATTTCAGTACTGAAAAATACAAGGTCCTCTAATTTGAAAAGCGGCAGCTGCAACCGCATAGGATCTGAATATCAGATATTTTACTGTTTGTGAGAGTAGATCACTAATTCAGCAGTTTAGTAGCATGTGCCAGCATTAAGCTTTCTAGGACTAACAGCAGTCACGTGAAATCCTCTTGCTATTTTGTATTAATACAGGGACCAACCACCCTCTGGAACAGCACCCCCCAGAGATAAGGATGGCACCTTCTCTCCAGGGGTTCCAGAAAGCCTTGAAAACCTGGCTTTCTGTGGTCCCAGGCCTGCGTTGATGTTGGTTGTTTAATGGCCCCTGTTTTGTTTTGTGGGTTTTGTTAGCAAAGTATTTTAGTGTGGGCTGCCTGTTGATTTAATGTTTCTTGCTGTTTTTGTGTTTTGTACTCTGCCCAGAGTCCACTGGAGTTGGGTGGCCAATCAATTTAAATAAATACATAAATAAAATTTAGAGGACCCTAAAGTACAAAGCAAATAATCAGTCTTTCTCCCCAATGTATTAGGTACAGTATAATATCTCTACAGCATTTTCATGTTGACCAACATTTTCGTTCATCCCATCTTACAGAGAACTCATAGATGAGTAAGTGTGTAGTTACATAGGCTTGAATATTGAAGAGCACTTAGACACAGCTATACACAGCATAGCATACATATAAGTATGCAAGAAAATCCACAAACAATCTCAGAGTCTTGTGGGCTAATACAACATAATCACTATGGTCCATATTCATTTGGGTAATATCTTCAATGTTACAGCTCCTGCTATGCCAAAAAGATAATAATGGCTATTCTGATATATTAGTGAACATAATGCCTATACTACCAGCCAGATCTAGAACAATACATTTTCCTTCTAACATTTTGAATGGGTGTTTCAGTTTTAAAACAGCAGAGATCTTGCATGTCTACCTTCTCACTTGTAAAAAGGTATGTTTTATAGGAAGCTCCTACTAAGAGCTTTTCAGCTTCCATTCTTTGGTTTAACAAGTTATAAACCTCCCTAATTTATTAACTTTCATCCTTCTTGCTGTATTTTTAGAAGAACACTTTCCTGTTGAACCCTCTGATATTGTTAATTGTACTCTTTTGTCCCTGTATTGCTGTTGTTATCTGGCCTAGTGCAGAACTTCTAAGTTGTGTATGTTGGCCTGTTGGGGTCAGATAGACCAGATTAATTCACTCTCTGCCTAAGTTCATATAGGCATAACTATACTGACACCTGTTTTTATATGAAATGTTCTTTAGAATTAAAAATATTAAAGATATGCACAACCCGCAGACAGATATGGATATCTAATGGGATATCTCTTCTTCCAAAGTGGTTCAACAAGTCCTACTATGCAATAAGACTTAATTGGGAACATGTGGACATCATGGGGGGGGGGGCATTAGATTAGTAGTTTTGGGCTATATTTGCAAAGTGGTTCTGACTCTCACCTTCTTTTCTGAACAAGGCATTAGGTACTTCCTCATAGTGTTAATAAGTACTGAATCTTCACCTCCCTTGCTGCTTGTTGACTTTTCATCAATGGCTGTGCACTGAATAATTACTGCATGATTAAAACTTAACTGCAAATCGGAATGCAAATCTGCTTTTTAAAGAACTTTGTAAACTAATATTTGCATTCATCACACTACAATGCTGCATTTGTATCAAGCCAACCACAGATTCTTTCCATAGAACATTTTCCATGAGTTAGGCCTAGCTCAGAACAAATTAAATTTCTCTTTATATTCAGATTCTTATTAGAGTGAAAGCAACTTACATGGTTACGTAGGGTAACTGCAAGCAGTACATGCTGATTGCAGTTGCTTCTAATATTTAGAATACTTAGTGAACATATTCTAAAATCCCACATGGGAATAATTTTACACATCTCCAATTTCTTGTTTTAGGACAAAATCTAGCACTGGCACACAGTCAGTTGAATGCCAAACCTCTGAAAGGGTTCCACCCCCTAGTACTTGTAGACAAAGATCAGTACATACGAAAATTAAAAATATTTATATCATAATGTTGCAGGTCCTCAAAAATGAATTCAGCTACAGCTGAACCAGAGTTCAGCCAATTAGCTGCTTATGGCAGAAAAGAAAAAATTGCTTCCAAGCTCTGCACTATGAAATAAAAATCCATTTTTGGCTCAGGCAAGCAGTACCTCAAAATCTGTTGGCTGTAATCCCAGTGACATTAGAGATTGCTCCAAGCTTTCCTCAAGCAATCTTTGGCTGTCAAGTAAATGGTGTGCAAAACCATGCATCAGTTCAGTGTATGTGTGTGCGCGCACGCGTGCGTGCGTTTATGTCTTATTGCGTAGTAGTCATTAGGTTATATGGGGTAATTTAACAAACCATGTGTAGAGGTTAAGAAATAAAAAAAAACCTGAACAATTATTACTAAATTCATTTCAGTTAAACAGCAAATAACTCTGAAGATAGAGAGTAAGATATTTTTTTTCTATTATTATCAGTTCAGGGTAGTATTTAAGATATTAAAAGCCAACACAATACAATCAGGATGTTAAAAATTATGTAGTTCCTATTTCCATTGAATTTTATCAGGAAGTAATTTGTTTGTTCTGAAGGCTGGAATAACTTCTCTGAGCATAATGGAATATAGAAAGTGCTTTTGTCCTGAATATGAAAGAAAATACTGAAAAACATCTCACTTGTATATTGTTGGCTGCTAAAGATCTAACGTTGTCTACCTTATTGTGCTAACTTAGCCTAATGCTCTAAGGCCAGAGAGTACACAGATAAAACTTTATGTATGCAATGTATTGTATATATGAATAGAAAATGCATATAACATGTTCAGTAGATAAGCACTCTCCTTTTCAAACACAGAAATAGCAAGATGAGAGCACAGCTTGGGTACATATTTTCTTCCAATTCCTAAATATTTAGGCAACAGAATGTCTTTCCAGATCATCCAAATGCTGACTCCTGTATCCTATTTATAGGATTTATAATTTTATAAGGCTCTCTACTTCAGCTAGGAATTATACAAAATATTCTCAATTCGCAACTGTCTCTTCAATATTACAAACCATCCTTTTTGTTTACAGTTCTCTTACTTCGTGTGTCTGTTCCAATAGCTTGATTCCTCCTGGTCTCTGAATACCCAGAATTTGCCTTTTAAGGTGAAGTTTAAGGACAAGTAGAAAGTTTGGACAGAGAATCACAACTGGAATTATAATTTTCCTACCAAGTTTTCTTGCCAAACAAGTTACATTAGGTGAAAAGTTGCACTAATGTAGTGGAGATATTTGATAACCAAAAAAGCATTAAAGGACATTTTGATTCCCTCACTTCAGTTTCCAATATTACATATTTGGGATGGGGCAGGATCCAACTATTACTTTTGAAGGGTTTCAATTTTAAAGATGTCCAGGTCACATACAATTTATACGTAGTTTATATAAAGTTAGTTTTGTGCTGTTTAAATTTTA